GCAGTCCTCCTAACTTGGCTTCCTGAGTCCCGAGATAGCAGATGTGCACCATCAAAGTTTTTGCAAATGCTTTGTGTTAACATCATAGATTCTGTAAATTGATAATGTCACAGTAAAAATAAGTGTGTCGAAGGCAACTGACCGACGGATGGCATTGGGAATTGAACCATTTAAAATTAAGACGAGGAGGCCCTCCAACGTGAGGGGACAGAAACAGGAATGCAGAGCAAGCAGCAAAAAACCCAAAGAGACTGCCGCAGCCGAGAGCTTCCCGAAACTCTGTCCTGGCCCCCGGACTTCGAGGTGTCTGGACTCGGGGCAGGAGCTGCCGAAGGGCAGACCTCACCCATGTCCTCCAGGTTTTCAGTCAGCGCCGGGCTCTTTCTCATCTCACTTTGCTGTGGCCCACTCCCCTGACTGAAGATGTGAGACCTCTGTGTCACCAAGATGTGCTCTTCCTATGTCTGCTCATGAAACAGTGGATAAAAGACAGCAAGGGAAAACACACACAGATTTGATGTCTCTGCATCATCGGCCTCTTTCCTAGCTGAAAAAGAAAGCTTTCTTCCAACTCCAAGAACACTGGTCCTCGTGTAGCCGAAGTGGGCATCACTGGCATTGCTGAGTGCTTGTAGACCCAGCAAGACCAAGTGGACCACAGCCCCAGGCCCAGAGTCCCCAAGCTTATCATGCTTTTATATTACAGGACAACTTGTCTATGAAAAATTACAATAACCACATTCTCCTGAAATTTGGATCTGCACAAAAGCTTTAAATTCTTTAGAACTGAGGGGCACTCATGGAGAAGAGCTTCTGGTTCTGTTACATGAGATTCTGGAATGAGTGACAGACAGACAGGACACGTCTTCAAGCTCTGGTAAAAGTCAAGATTCAGTGAGGAAAGGAAACAAAGAATTTGGTGATTAACCTGTGGCAGTGCAGGATGCCAGTGCAACTATTTCTGTTATTCACAGTGAAGATGAAAAGAATAAAGAAATATATCTATTATATATATATATATATATATATATATATATATATATAAAATTCCTCTCAGGGGTTTGAAAACAAAGAATTAAAATCTACTCAGCACAAAACTAAAAGGATGGGGAAAGTGGTAAGGTTGGGAGGACAGACAGGGAACATTAGACACCAAGCCTCCCTTCGGAGGTTCATGCAGTTCCAGAAGAGAAATAGAGATGAGATCACCAAGATGGACAGTGAGAGGCGAAAACTAGACTTGACCTCACAAGGCTTCTCCATGAAGACGTGCTAGGTGGGATGCTTCAACACTGTGTCCATTCTTTTGCTCTAATCAAGTTCGTTTTGTGTACAACCAAAACCAAAAAGAGCTGCTCCCTCCTCATAAACACACACAGGCTCTGACCTCTGGCTTCTCCCAGTCGGTGAGCTCATGCTGCTGTCCTGTTCCCACCCTGAGGAAAAGACAGATGCTAAAAAATGTGGACTTTCATGTCTATTTCTGTGTGTCCTGCTGAATTCCAAGAACCGAGGACAGGTCACAGGCCACAGCTCCAGCAGCAAAGCCAGGTGAGCAGGACAGGAGATGGGCAAGGCCTGAAGAGCAAAGGTCAGCCCTGTGGGGGGCCAGGTAGAGTTTCAACCCATGAGCTTGGTTGGAATGTGAAAGGCTAGGCTGGAGGATGAAAAAGAGGCTTTATGAGATATGGTTGGCTGTGGTACAAGTCAAACTGTCATCAAAAATTAAAATGTTTGTGTTATGGTTTGTGTTTGGAGGCCCCCCCCCCATAAGCCTCATGCAATCATGGACATGGCTGAATCCAGCATTTGTGATTGGCTTGCACTGGGATTGGTTGTGTGAGTGCTAAACCTGCCCAGACATGGAGCCAGCATACAGTATAAGGGCAGGAAGAAGGTGTGTCTTTCTTTTGTGCAGTTCTCTCTTGATGTTTTGTGGGGGCTATGAATGGCAGCTCTACCATGCCACCCTGCCGTGGAGGCAGCTGAGTATGGACTGAAACCTCCAAAATTTTAAGAAATAAACCTTCCTTTTCCTAATTTTAGGCATCAGGTATTTTGTCTCAACAATGAGTGAAAAGAAACTAAGACAGTTTGTAACACTCTAAGCCATCTAGTTTATTTCCCCATGGTGCTGGAGATCGAACCAAGGGCCTGGAGACCCAGGTTCTCTCACTGAGCTCTTAGCCTGGCCAATTTTGTTCCTAATACTTTTGCTTCTGTTCTTGAAATGTTTATTCCCTAATACTGAGCTATAATCATCAAGATAATAAAGCAAAATGGTACAGGCAATGCCAGGAATGGAGCAGAGTGCAGGGACCCCTCTACCAGCTCAGTCCTTACAAGGAGAGTGGTTTGTGCTCCTGGTAAGGTTACAGAAACTATACCAGGCAAGACTGATGTCTCCTAGAGGAACAGTCAGTCAAGTCCTTGTGTGCACCACCCTCTCTGAATTGCATGACTGTTTTGTTTGGTTCTGTTTTTTGAGACAGGGTCTCACTATGCAGTTGAGGCTGAACTCACTTTGTAGTCCAGACTTGCCTGGAGCTCACTGCAATTCTCCTGCCTCAGCCTCCCAAATGCTAGGATTATAGGGGTACATCATTACACCCAGTTGATTGTTGTTATTTTTGAGCAGCATGAAATCTAAGAAGATAGAAAAAGTATAAAGGCACTAAACACCAAAGACATTGAATTTTAGGGGATAGGGGGACAGGGTCTCACTGTGCAGTTCAGGCTGGCCTTGAACTCACTCTGTAGCCCAGGCTGGCCTCTAACTGGAAGACATTGAAATGAATGTTGGGAAATTAAAACCTGGATTAGGGCAGTGGCTGAGGGAAACTGGAAGAGAGATCAAGAAACACTTTAAACTGAGTGTGGTGGCACAAGCCTATAATCCCAGCCCTTTGGGGAGGCTGAAGCAGGAAGATCACAAGTGTCATCCCCCTCTGGGAAACAGTGATTTAATAAAACCATTTCTCAAAAAAAAAAAAAAAAAAAAAAGCAGGACATACTGGTACACACCTGTAATCCCAGACTCAGAGGCTGAGGCAGGAGGATTGCCAAAGTCCAAGAGTTGGGCTACATAGTAAGACCTTGTCTCAAAAACATAAAAAAAGCCCTCCAAAAAACAATAAAGCACAACAATCACACACACACACACACACACACAGAGAGAGAGAGAGAGAGAGAGAGAGAGAATGCTTCCTTCTTCTCTGGAGGAAGAAGAGGAGGAAGAGGTGGGGAGGAGGAGGAGGAAAGGAGAGTAGGTTTGGGTATGTAACACAACATTCAATCCCCAGTCCCGAAAGAAAGTTAATTTGAGGCCAGTCAAGGCATCTTAGAAAAACCCTGTCCCAATATAAACTAAAAAGGGTCATTATTTATCTCAGTCTTAAGGTGCTGGGTTCACTTCCCAGTATGCCAGAGAAAGGAAAAATATCTCCAGCTGTGTTATGGCTGTGTCTGGATGTCCCCCAAAGCCTCTTGCTGTCCTAAGGGGCTTTGCAGAGTGTGTGATGGATTCATAGTGCAAAGCTGGATTGCCCTGCTAGGACTAAAGGATGGGTGATCACTAACTCGGGCCATTGGCTGATTTAGGGCTGCCCTAATCCCCATAGCCTGGATAAATACAAGGGACAGAAAGAGGCTTGTCTTCTCTCTTGCTATTTTGCTTCCTCCTGCCTGTCATGAATTGTTTCTCCTTTGTGATGCCCTCTGCCATCTCACCTGGCCTTAGAGCCAGCCCATGATGGGCTGAAACCTCTACAAACTGTGGGCTACAATAAGCCTTTCCTCCTCTAACATCAAGTGTTGAGTATTTTGTCTCAGCAACAAGAAAAGTAACTGAAACAATTGTAAACTCTGGCGTCAGACCTGGTCAGTTATTTTGACAGTGCAAGTGGTAGTTTGGAGGTTACCTAGAGGAAAGGTGACATAGCACGTTTCATCAAAAAGCGATTCCTTCAAATGTCATTCCTAGGAACCAGGAGTGTAGCTCAGTGGTAGACCAGACACTTAACATGTGCCAGGCCTGGGTTCAATGCCCAGTGTACACAGGTATACATACATATGCACATGCGTGCACACACACACACACACACACACAGGCATCATTCTTTACAAGATAAAACAGTTCTGGAAATTGGTTGTTTAACATGAATATACTTAATAAAATTATAAGATAATAGACTTTGGGGTCTTTTTTGTTTGTTTGATTGTGGTTTGCTTTTTTTTTTTTTTTTTGAGACAGGGTCTTGCTGTGTAGCTCACGTTGACCTTGAACCCATCTGGATCCTCCTATCTCCTATCCCTGTATCCTGGGATTACAGGTGGCCACCACCATGCCTGGCTGCAATATATACTGTGTGTGTGTATGTAAGTGTTGTTTTGTTTTGTGTTAGACAGGGTTTTACTATGCAGGCAGGCAGGCAGTTCAGGCAGGCCTGGAACTCACTTTACAGCCCAGGCTGGCTTTAATCTGGAAGCCTCAGCCTCCCAAGTACTGGGATTACAAGCATGCACTACAGGGCCTGGCTCCTGGCTGTTGTATTTTAGAGCATATTTAAAATCTAGGCAAGGTGATGCATGTATCCCAGCGATGTGAGGGGCTGAGGCAGGATGATTGCAATTTGGAGTCCAGCATGGGCAACCTAATCACTTAGGAGACCTAAGTGATAGAAAATACTGGGGATGTACCTCGGTGGGAAGGCCAGTATTGAGAGAAGATGAAAAAAAGATTGAGCCAAAGTTTAAGTTAATAAAAAGAAGTAGGCACTGTGCTAGGCCAGTGTTTTCCCACTGTATTCTGGAAGTGCATCAGGTTTTCACGCACCAGATCTATTCAGGCCGCCAAGTTCCAGGAAGTCTATTTTAGGAGATATGTGAGGACAGGAGGTAAGAACATCAGGAGAACCCAGGACCGGCATTACAGCCGGACTCGGGCCGTAAGAGGAGGAACAGGAAGTAGAAAGATCCCGCGCACGATGGAGGCGGGGTTGGCTAAGCTGTCACGGGGCTGTGGACAATCTCTGGCTCTTGGGCCATGAGGTTGTGTGTCATTGTCCCCCTCTGTCTCTGTGACTCCCTCCAACTCCTCTGGCTTCTGCTTACTCATAATCTTTTTATGGCTAACACGCAACTTCTTCCACAATCAACATGTTCGCTCTGTAAATTCCAAATTCTTTATTTTTTTGTGTCTTTTTGAGACAGTTTCACTATGTAGTTCGGCTAACCTTGAACTCTATCCCAAACTGGCCTCAAACTCAAGTGATCCTCTTGCTTCAGCCTCTCGAGTGCTGGGATTATGGGCATGTGCTCAAACTGCAATGTGTGATCAGAATTACCTGAGCTCTTGAACTACACATTGTTGGGTCCTTGCCGTGGTTCCTAATGAGCAGTCTTGCAGAGGGTCTGAGAATTTGCTCTTTTTGTTATGTTTGCCTGTTTGTTTTGAGACAGTGTCTCACTATGTAGGCCCAGCAAGCCTCAGACTGTCAGTTCCGCTCCGACCTCCTGAGCAGGCATTCCGGGTGTGCAACCTCGCCCCGCCCTGAGGATTTACATTTTTCTTCCCAGGTAAGGCTGACTACACGATCCAGGAGCCACACTAAGCAGCACTGGCCGGCTTAGTCACCCTTTATCTGTCTGGACAGCGTAACTGGGGCAAGCTCCAACTTGTTGGCAAAACCCTACTTCTGCACGGACTCTCAGGCTCATAATGGCACGCACTTTCCTCCTTCCTCCCTTTCTTTCTTTCTCCTTTCTCTTTTTTGCAACTTCCTTCTCTTCTTGGCCTCCTCTTTTGGGCAAGCACCCAAGTCTTATTACTTTTGCAGATGGAATGTGTCACACCCCTCCTCCTCTCCTTAGTCACTGCTGCGGATGAATAGTACAATGAAAGCACTTTTCACTGCGGACAGCAGGACAATGGGAACATTTCTCTCCCCTGGGGCCGCAGGTAGGTGCCTGACAACCAGCACTCGCCACGCCCAAACACGGACTTTCCCAGCAGCACAAGCGCGCCCTGTGCTCTGCTGCCACCGCGGAACCGCGCGGAGCTGCAGCTCCCGCGTCAGCCGCCCATCCAGGCCCGGGAGCGCCCCTCTGCGCCCGGCCCTGCCCGGTGCTTCCGCGGGCGCCTCCTGCTCGTGCTCCAGCCTGGGTCAGGGCTGCTACCGTGCTCACTCCAGCCGCCCAGCAATGCCTTCCCCAGGGTGTCCCCTTCCCACGCGCGAACCTCTCGAGGAAGCTGCTTGTTGCAGGCCCACGCGCAGATCCACCAGGTTACCTGTCCTGGGACAGCACGGCTCTCCTGCTCTGTCCTTTGGGTCATCACACTCACCTAGGACTTTGAAACAGCTGTAAACACTTTGGTTTTAAATCAGTGATGGTTAAATGTTGTTTTTTCCTCATTGATACTTCTTTTCTCTCTCTCTTTTTTTTTAACCATGATCTCCAACCCTTTCTTTTGAGAGTCCCACTTCTCTGAAACGTCTTAGGACAAGATTTTGGGAAAGAGCTTTGACTTTTTACAATGTTCAAATAAATAGGATTCTGCAGCTAGGTGTGGTAGTGTGGGCCTGTAAACCAAGCACTCCTGAAGGCTGAGGCAGGAGGATTACAAAATTGAGCCCAGCCTGGACAATTTAGTGATTTACCTGTCTCAAAACACAGAATAAAAAGGAGAAGCAATGTAGCTCAGAGGAAAGGCGCTGGGCTTAACCTCCAGCACTGCAAAAACAAAAAAACAAAACAAACAAACAATGCTGCACCTGGAATTTCTACGTTCTCTGGAGTTCCATGACTGCATTTGAACTCCGAGCACACAGCTCCACCTAAGGGACACCCAGAAGCTTAAATCCGGGCCCAAAGCCAGCTTTGACATTGGTCTCTTTGTGCTAGTTTTTCATTTCTTAAAACAACATAAACAAAACCATAAGCCAGTCATACAGGCTCTTTCATTGCTTCTCCTTTTTCTTTTACTTATTTTTTAATCATTTGGGCTCTTGATCATCGTAATTGGGATCTTTTCTCTCCCTGGAGTGTCTCCTCCTCTTTCTTAACTTCATTCTTCTCTATTGAACAAGAAGCCGATTCCAAAGTTTCGGGGCCATCACAGGGCCACTGGCACCCATCACTTGTCCACCGCTGAATGTCATTGAACTGCTGTGCTCACATATGTTAACCAAAATATCCCCCGACTGGAACCACAGGAAGCGATTAGCCCTTGCACAGGGTGATAAGCAGCTCTGCTGAAGCAGTCCATAGTTTTCCTGGTTTTTTGTTTGTTTTGGTACCGGGGATCGAACTCAAAACCATATGCGCTCAGCTAAATCCCGGCTGTTTGTTTGTTTTTTTTTGCCATATATTGTCGTTTGTTTGTTTCTGTTTTTTGAAACAGGGTGTAGTTCAGGCTGGTCTTCAGTTCACTGTGTAGCTCAGGTTGGCCTCAAATTTGTGGCGATCCTTCTGCCTCAGCCTCTCAAATGCTGGGATTATAGGCGTGCACGTTACCCCAGCCCCTATACTGTTAAACAGTAAACAAAAGATGTTGTCAAACAGGAGACAGACCTTCTGCCTCCGGGAAGTAAAGCTAGAGAGAGGAAGAAAAGGGGAAGTAAATATAATTGAGATATGTCACGTACATGTGCCACCGCCCGGGGTCACCGCCATCCTTGTACGTGGTACACACACACACACACACACACACACACACACACACACAGAGGAATGGACAAAAAAGATTATTCTGAGCAGTTTTCCTCAAACTCTGGGGGACCACAGAGATACCTCCAACGCAGAGAACATAGGATGGGGTGTGCACAGCCTTAGCAAATGTAGATCTCAGCAGCTTTCAAATCGTTCTCTTCTCATCTTGGAAGAATTTCTCGGTAGTCTCCAGATTCTTCAATGGATTTTTCAGCCTCCTCTATTTTTGTTTTAACACAAATGCAATGCTTTGATCACCTGCCTGTGAGCCAAACTAGTGCTTTGGGGGAAGCTTACTGGGTTTATCGCAGTTGACCTCGATAAGATTAGATCCAAAAGATGAGAAGTATAAAACAAAAGAGGCCTTTATTCTGAGAACACGGAGAGAGAAAACCAACCCCCAACCCCCCCGCGCTGGAGTCCGGCTTTCTCTCTGGCGGACACCTGTCGTGGGGGGTATGTAAGTAGCCTCGGTTTGGGGTGGAACCTAAAGGGGCATCAGGGATGCACGGGTAGCCCATTGGTCCTAGTTTGGCGCCAGAGGTAGATTCCCAGGGGCGGGGAAGATGGAGTCACAGGTAAATTCCTAGGGGCGGGGGATATTGGAACTCCTTGGTTCCACCTCTAAGGCTTCACCAGCTACAGTGTCCTGTCTGGGCCAAAACCCTTTCAGACCTAAGGTACTGGTGCCCTGGTTTGAGGGTGCCCTCGGACTCCACCCCAGTCCTCCCTGCCCTGTCTCTGCATTTTACTCACCTCAGCATGAAGTATGCTCCAGCGTTTCCGGGGAGCCACACTGCTGGCAAAGTAGGAACTGCTTTCTTTAGAAGTCAAGGCACTGACAAAATGATCACTCATGTCACTTGGCTTTTTTGTTATTGTACTGGAGCTTGAACCCAGGGCCTTGGCACTGGGCCACATCCCTGGCCCTTTTATTATTCCTTATTTTGAGGACAAGGTCTTGCTACATTGCCCAGGTAGGTCTCAAGCTGGCCAGTCTCCTGCCTTAGCCTAGCAGTCAGTTATACTCCTAATGCCGTCACTTTCCAGAAAACTGGACTGTGCAGCGTGTTCTCAGTGCATAACTGAATCTAGCTACTGGCAAGTGGTGTTCACTGTCACCCAGCACCATGGTTTTCGAAGTGTGAGAGACCAAGCATCAGCGTCCCTGGGAAACTGTCAGACCTGCACATTTTCTGACCTTTCCTCCGCCAGGCCCACCGCATCACCAGCTCTGAGCCACAACAAGCCCTCCAAGGGACTCTGACACAGCTGAAACTGTGGAAACAGGTCTTTCCTCTAGTTTTCAGATCTAAAACAGAGTAAGGCACAGATTTAAAAAAAAAAAAAAAGCCTGTCTTTGAATAGAAAAAGCAATATTATATAAGTGTTTTTTTTTTGTCTTTTTTGAGACAGGGTCTCTATGCAGTTCAGGCAGTTTGGCCTTGAGCTCACTTTGTAGCCCAGGTTGGTCTCGAACTCCCAAGGATCCTCCTGCCTCAGCCTCCCGAGTGCTGGGATTACAAGCGCGAGCCACCAAGCCCAGCTAGCTGTTCCTTTTTTAAAAGCAAAGGTCAATACTAAAGGATCTTTCACTAAAATTCTGCTACTAAGTATATTTTCTGTATACTTAATTTGCACAGCAGGTTGTAAAGAACAAAAGTGGATTCATTACTTTTGAAGTCATTTGTCTCCCCCTTGTGGCAGAGTTTTAAATAGTGAGCCCCTTGTGTTTCTCAGAAATGTCTGAATGTTCTCAAGATTCCTCTTATGAAAGACAATTAAAATTAATTTTCCTCCCCACCAGGTTAGAGATTTTTCTCTGCTGGCACCAAGAGTACTGCATAAACTCATGTGATTTGTCTCTTAAACAGTTTTTGATAACTGACTTGTAAATATTCTCATTTTGTTATTGGTAACTTCTGAGTAATACAAATTCACTATTCATCATATTTTCAAGTGATTTTTCTTTCCTTCCAGGATTGCAACAACACCCAGGGGTCTGCCTTTCACTCATGACTGCTTCTCTCCCGAAATGCCCTGGGAGCCACATGGTACAGGGCACATCCCACCACCAAATCTGCTTGAGGGACCCCCGTGTATCCCCAGACTTCTGAGTCACAGCAGAAGGAGATGAGCAGCTCCCTGACTCTTACATCAGCCTGACAAAGTCTGAATTTTTAAAAAGAGTTTTTGGCTATTTACACTATGTTGGTTCTTGCTATCGATGAGCAAGTGATATTCCATTTTCTGATATACTCTTCAATTTCCTTTTTCAGAGTACTGTAATTTTCAATATATGGATCGTTATCTTCCCTTGTTAAATTGATTCCCCACATTTTATTGTTTGAATGTTATTGGGAAGGCCCACACCCTTTTTCTCAAATTTAAATGTTTTAAAATTTTTGAGGCAGGCTCTTGCTAATTATTTAAATTGTCCAGATTTGGGCTCGGACTTGCAATCCTCCTGGCTCAGCTTCCCAGAGTGCTGGGATTAGAAGGGTGCACTGTCACACTTATCTGTGATTTCCTGAAATGGGACCTTGACTGGGAATGTAGCTCAGTGGGAGAAAGCATGCCCAGCCTGCACGAAGCCTGGGTTTTACCCTCCAGCACTACACACACACAAATAATAAAACAAAACAGAAGAAAAATGACTAAAATGACATTTACTTCAACAACTGAGTCTTTCTTTAATGGAATGTTTCCCTGGAACATGCAGTGCTTTTTGACAGCATTTTAGCCTGGGTAGAATGTCCTTCAAATCTGGAATCAATCCTCTTAAATTCTGCTTCTACTGTATCAGTTAAGGTAGCCCTTCTGAATACTTTGCAGTCATTTCTGAATACTTTGCGTCAGTCAGGCGCCCCTGGCGCAGAGAGGACTGGTGGGCTCTGCTAGCTGGGACCCATGAGACAGGCACAAAAAGAAACAACTCTGTGACGTCCACAAGGTACAGCCTAAGTCGCTGAAGGAAATTGCAGATTGACTGGTTCAGAGGCTTGAGGCTAGCCCGCACCATCTCTGCATCCCTGCGTGTGCCTCAGATAATAGCAAATTGGGGAGGGCAGCAAAACCCCAGTTAGTACGCTTTGGAAAGACTCTAAGCAATACAGAGAGGGCCAGAGACGCCCAGGACACACCTGTCTGAAAGAAACCAGAAACATGACAAGAGATAGAAATAAAACAAACCCTCCAGGAGCTGACCCCGGGAAAATAAGCCTAGGAGAGGTAAATACAGAAGAGAACCAGTGCAGTAATCATGCAATATTAGACACAGCATCAGCGGACATAAAGAAATACCTTCGTGACCTCATAGACGAATTTCAAACTGTACTTCTGATCCAAGTGAGACAAGATATAAAGATTAATTAAAGAAATGATAAGCCCCTCCCAAGAGAACACAGATGGAAGAACAGAGAAACTCAGAAAAGGAAGAGAAACCTTTGATGAAGAACATAAACAAAATCTAGAATACATGAAACAGATCCAAAGAAATTACCAGGAAATAAAAACTCCATTGAAAGCTGGCAAAATGCCTTGACAGAAACTAAAGTTAGCCTTTCAAAACTTGAAGAAAGATTTTTGATGTGTGATCGTGAAAGAAAAGATCCCTTAAAAGTAACAAGGAGCCAGGAAGAAACAATACAAAGGCTAGAAGATGACAAGAGGATTTATAGCTTAAGAATAAAAAATGTGAGCAAAGAAGCAGAAATAACCACAAATGAACTACAAAGACCACTCAGATGTAATTAAGGAAAACTTCCCAAGCATAGGAAAAATAAATGACATCCAACAGTGGCACAGAGGCCTCAATGAACGGGGCAGACAGTGGAATGAGGGAGTAAGGTGGACAAATTATAGCAGTTAAGTGGAGTAGCAGACATGAGGCAGAGACGGTAAGCTATAATCTTTAGTATAGATAGCTTTGATATGCTATAAAAATTGCAGAGGTCATTGTTAATAGTGTATCAGGATTTAAAAGTCACAGTAGTCTTATTGCTCTGTTTAGTTTGAATTTATTTTGTTCTGGTCTGTCCACTCATATCAGATTTGAGGGCACAGACATCTGACCCAAAAATAGCAGGTTATACCATGGTAACTATCCTTAATTTCCTATTAATTTAAACTGAAACCCTGTATTACTTACATTATCTTACTATGACTGATCTTATTTGAATCTGGTTTGTTAGACCGTGGTTTTGCCTTGGCTGATTTTATTTGAATTTGGTATGCTTGATAGTATCAAGTCTAAAAGTAGAGGCAACTACTCTGAAGATGACAAGATGTAAAAGATGTCCATACCAGTTTTGATTATTAACAGCTCTCAAGTCCTACGATGTTTTCAAAGTTGTGTTTTTATAAAAATAGCTATGTAATACTATGCTTAACTATAGTAAGCCGGATGATGTGGACAAGTCTATTGAAAATAACAAGAGAAAGCATAGTAACTATGGTAGATCACCTAATATTGTGGTTGTATGTGTCTTTTGCATTGCATGTTTTTCTAGGAATTTGTTTTGCTATCTTGTTAGATCTGTTTTCCCCTATAATACAGAGAGCATAGATATACATGTAGAAATTCACACATGGGAAGAATTTTTTGAACTATTTATGGGAACAGATTATACAATGTAATGAACAGATATAATGGACAGATACTCTAAAGAAGAAGAGACACTAAGAAACCCAATGCTAATTCTGTAGCCTTATGATATAAAATCTAGCAATACTGTTATTCACTGTTCAGAGTGATATTAGTCTAGTCTCTTAAGTTCAATTTCAGCATAGGTAAGGATAAGGACAGCTACATTCTCTTCATCATCCTGTAATGATTTGATTAGTTCTATAATATGCAGTATGTATTTAACATGTGTGAAGATGGGGACAACTATTTGGAAGAAAACTAGAGACAATTAGATAAATAGTGAAGATTTCTAGTGGACTTACTTTGAAATCGGTATTTCTTTAAATTGTTTCTCTTTGAACTGTTTTGTTCTGTTTTGAAATGTTTAATCTTCCCTCTTTAAGATAAAAACAAGTGTGCAGGGCTGATAACCATATTACTAAGTTTTTGTTAGATCATTGAACAGAACTGTGGGCAGTGTCACTATTTGAATGTCACTTTACATACTTTAATTTTGTAACCTGAAAAACTATTTTTTTTTGGTCTTTTTTTCATTTTTATCGGTACCGGGGATCGAACTCATGACCGCCTGCTTGCAAGGCAGGTGCTTATGCCGCTGAGCTAAATCCCCAGCCCCCTGAACAACTATTTTTAACACGACAATATGTAACTTATCAACTGGTGATTTATTACCGTTTATTTTTCTGTAATTCTGTATTATTTATATCCTTTTTTAAGTGTATTTTTTTGTTTTTTCTCTTTAAATAAATTTTAAAAAGTAGAACTGGAAAGTTGGGAGGGGAAAAAGGGATAAAGATAAAAAAGGGAATAGAGGGTAAAAAATTGAAAGAAAGCTTTTGTAAATAAGGACCAAAAGAAGGTGGGGGAAAGAATCAAGATATATTTTGTAGCAGCATATTTTGTGATAGCTAAATCTTGGAAACAACCAAAATGCCAATCAACTGCAGAGTGGATGAAAACAATGTGGTATTTTTGGTCAACGGAATACTATTTAGTTCTAAAAAAGGCCTTTCTAGGTAAATGGATGCAACTTGAGACTATCCTCATTAGTGAAACAAACAGGACTCACCTTAGTAAATATCACATGGTCTCTCCAGCGTGAAAACTAATAAGAACTGACAGAATAATGGGATCCAACAGCTATGATAGATGTTGTGAAAGGGAAAGGGAAGGAAAGTGCTCTAAAGGATAGAATGGCAGGCATCGTGTGTAAGATAGATGACCATGTTACTGAATTTCTGTTAGACACTGAACAGAAGGGCTTGCACTGTCAATGTTTGAGTGTCTAACCACTTTTTATGCTTTGATTTTGTGACTTTGGCAACTATTTTTAAGATGCCAATGCGTAATGCATCAGCTAGCGATTTTATGATGTTAATTTTCTTGAGGTCTGTATTATTCTGTTTTTTCCCCTTTCTTTGTATTTGATTTTTCTTTAATTTTCTTTTCTTTCTTTCTTTAAATAAAACAATTTAAAAAAACAGATATATTTTGTACAGGTATGAATTCCCAATAATGAATTTGCCAATATGTGTATCAAAAGTGTACAATAAAATTAATATTAAGAAAAGGAAATGAAAAGATAATTTTTGGGATGCTTATAATAATTTTAAGGCAATATATTAAAGCAGACAGATTAGCAAGTTTCTCTAACTTGTTACTGCAAACAGATTCTATTCATATAATTTGTCATGTTATGGCAAATCACAAAAACATACGTAATAAAACTTTTAAGTATAAAAATCACACCTCCTAGGTGACATCTACATTGAATGGTGACAGCCCCATGCCCTCTAGAAAAGGCAAATGCTCCACGAGGGATAGAAAGCACAAGGTCTGCTTGAGATGGGCAGGAAGAAGGGGATGGCCATGACCACAAGGATAGTCTCCAGGAGATGTGTGAATGTGTCCTTCTTCCCAGCTGGGGAGAAGACCTCCACGGCTTCACAAGGAGTCACCACCTGCTGTCCCCTCACACAGAGTCACAGCACTGAGGACCCAGTTAGGGACTGAGCTCAGCATCTAAGCCTGGATATCCCCGGGCACCCGGAAATTAGAGCCTGCTCTGAACCCTCCAATCACGGACATCAAGGGTTAAAATTTGAAACTTTTACATGCTTTAATGAAAATTATTGTGACCACTTTTTGAACATTGCCAAAATCACTATTGGAAATGAAATGTAAGTGAAGTGAACCAAGGAAAGAAGCTCATCCTAAAATCCAGCAGCTCTCTAAGTGACGGCCCTGTGCAAGATGACTTGGGGGAGAATGGACCCTGGGATGGAAAAGCACACTGCAGCCCGCATCTGCTGCATCTCACGCATCCACACATTGGTTGGCTTAAAACTTCAAATTCCTCAGCCTCTAACATGACACACAGCTTTCTAGTTTCCCTGCTGTCTCTAAGGAGCACATGGATGTGCTTCAGTGTGGGGAGAAAGGGGCATGGGCTCTTATCAGAGGGGAGCTCAGCCTGTGGACCCCAGCTCATGACCTCACTTCCTGGGTGACAGTTGCAAAGAGAACTTGGAACCCTCTAGTCACCAGGCACCACAGCCTAGCGACAGCTACTTCGAACTGACTTGCCTGACAGTCATGGCAAGCATGCTGTGCTCCTGGCCCAGGTGTGGAGGCAGCAAGCGCAGGACCCCGCGCAAGGAAAATATGTGGATGAGACTACGGCGATGGATGGCTCCATCCAGAGGCTTCAAGAAGCTCAGAAGGAACTGCCCAACTGGCATGGGCAGCACAGGGCTGGTGTGCCCAGACCCAGTGCCTATGGAGCCTGAGGAAAGAGGGAGCCCAGGGCAGGTCTCCCTTGACCTGACTCCCATGTACATGGAGACACCAGCTACAGGCCAGGAGATTTCAGGTCCAAGGACCTCTGTGAGTCCCCTGCACAACACCTGCCCTTGGTCCTCACTGTGTGTGTGTGTGTGTGTGTGTGTGTGTGTGTGTGTGTGTGTGTAGGTCAGAGTGCTGAGTGAAGTTCCTTCTGAGCAGGCGTAGAAGCTG